GGCGCCCCTCTTCCTCCTCAACCCTTAAACAGCTGATCTTTCTTACTCTCTGCTCTTGTATGCTCTTCATTGTCTGAACCTGGCATGGTATTTCCTCTGTTAGCCGGTAGCATCTGAGCTGCTGGCAGTTCCAGGCTGGTTGTCCTTGAGGTGGGAGAGCTGGTATGCTGGCTGCCAGTTCCTGGAGAGTGGAGCTTGTGGGTCGGGGGGTTATGCCCATATGACTACTTGCTAAGGATGTACAAGTCCTGTCTAGCTTCTAGTATCCAGATTAGAACTTGAGTGTTTGTGATGAAAAAAATCAAAGGGCCCTGCCTGTTTGGGGCGCTCTGGTGCCTCCCCCTTTTCCCTCCAAGTGTGCCACACAGGTCACTGGTTCTCTTGGCGATGTGTTGGTCTAGACCAGAAGCTTCAGCACCTTACCATAGCCCTTGGCTCTTAGCGTCCTCTCCTGTCCCTGGAGGGCTTTGGGCAGTGCTCAAGCCGCATGCAGGGCCTCCTGTGTCACGACAGGGAGCTCGCCTTTTGTGTCCCCTGCTGTCCCACCATCCTGTGAAATGGTGTAAGGGATGCTGAGCTTTCACTGTTGTTCTGAGGAGAGCTGTCACACCACCTTCCTTTCTTGAGGGCTTTTGCACAGCCTCACTTAAGTCTCAGTTGCAGCTGGATTTTTATGTAAGTTTTGTCTTTTGTGGACCACTTCTTTCCTCCACCCCTCTTCGAGGCAATGGTTTACCTTTTTTTACACATCTGCATTCACTGGTTGCCTGAATGGCTGTGTGGTTTTCTACTTCCTTCTCTTGTTAGGAAATGGATTTTCTTTGTGCTCAAGCTCTCTGTCTGTTTGGAGCCCTGTGGCTCCTACTTTAAACACAGGGCCATACTCCACCTGCCCAAGGCGCCAGGCCTTGGTTTGTTTCCTGCAGAGTACCTGCGCTCCTTCCTCTGGGGCCCTCACCTGGCTGCACCTACAGAGTTCTTTCTTGTGGTGGTGGTGGTGGGGTACCGGCAACTGAGCTCTATCCCTGACCCCCGAGTTCTTGCGCAGCGGGGCAGACACACGGCTGCTTCCTGCTTTCCCCAGTCCGCACCCCTGCCCTAGTGTCTCTCCTGGCCCTGCAGTAGGTGGGGCTCCACCTGCAGCTCCCAGAGGCGGTGCAGCTGCCTCTCGGTTTTCTGGACAAGGCCTTCATGTCCCAGCAGACAAACTCCTCGATCTCTTGGATCTGTTTGCGTTTGCTCTGTTGGACTCTTTACTACCTGGAAGCCTCGGAGCATTGGCGTTGTTTTTCCCTTCACACAGTACAGAAGACTCTTCTCTCCCTGGGCGACTGCATGGTTAGACTTCAGAGGTTTCCTTGAGTCAGCTCACTCCGCCTCTCCCGCCCGGGCCTGCTCGGCGCCTTTCCCATGCAGAGCTCTTTCGTGGCCTAGCGGCTGGCTCTGACCCTGGTGTCCTCCTTGCTTCTCTTGGCCCTGCATCTGATCTCAGGTTGTGTCTAAAATACGGTTCCACCTCAAGTCGAGCTGGAAGATGCCGGGGACATGGATGCCTGTCCTCGCGTTAGCATTGTTCAGCTGTGGGGATCATGGGTGGAGAGACCCTTAAGTCAGCGAGAATGTGTACTTCTTACACTTTTCTTTTCTTTTTCTTTTTGTATCGAGAATCAAACTCAGGACCTTGTGCTTGCCAGGCAGGCGCTTGTGCTGCTGAGCTGTCTCCCCTGCCCACATGTTGCTTTGCTTCACAGGTACCAGAGGAGGCCGCTGGCCGCCGCAGGCATGGGGTGCAGTCGGGTTCTGAGTGTGTGTGTTGTCTTGCAGGACTGTGAGGGGGAAACTCCCATTCACAAAGCCGCCCGCTCTGGGAGCCTGGAGTGCCTCAGCGCCCTGGTGGCGAACGGGGCTCACACTGAGTAAGTGTCTTCCATTCTTCTCCCAGCCAGACATTTCCTCAGCTCAGCGTTTAGAGCAAGCAGAGACCCCGAGGGGCTTCACCTTTCCCATCTCTGCTGTTAGTGAGGACAGTGTAGGTGCATTTGAGCATGTGCAGAAGGGGCTGTGGCTCCAGGCTGCTTGTCACAGGCGAGGCGGCAAGGACAGTCAGCTCCCTAGATGTGGCTGTGACGTCCTGACCTTGCCACTCACGAGTCCTTCAGCGTGGCCGGTCTTCCTGCTTTCCTTCGCCAGGTTTTAATTTCTGAACTGAGCTTGGGTTGGAACATCTTGCAGTCCTTTCTGGCTCAAACACGCTCAAGACGGTGAGCTTTTCTCAGTGTTGGCTCCTCATCTTAGCAGATGCAGGAAGCTTGTTTTAGAGCCTGTTAACGACTTCAGGGTTTGTAGCTCCTTGGAAAGAGGACTGTCAAGACTGGCGAGCCCTTGATACCATGGCCTTGTTTCAAAGGTCCTTACTATAGCCCCATTTACATCAGCTAGTTGATTTGTTGTCTGATGAGACAACCTTAATGTCAAGTGATCTTTAGAAATGTGATCTTGTATGCAAATCATTAGCTATAGCATTATCCATTTATTATAATTTAACTTTCTCTTAAAGATTATAGAATAAAATTTTTTTCAAAGTTTATAGCATTAACAAAATGGGTGTGGTTTTTCACCCTTAAATGTTGAGTGTAAGCTATAGAGTTCTAATAACCAAGATAATACTAGCTTTTTTGTTTTACCTTAAGTGTCACGAGTAATTTATAAAATTAATTAGAAACCACTTTATTTTACTTGGAAACAGAAAATTTTAGACTTTGGGAGAGTAAAATCCACAGAATTAACCTAGTTTAACCCTTTGGTTTCCATGTCGTTGTTTTGACTCTGTATAACAGTAAGTTTTTTTAGATCCTGGACAACAAACCATGCAGGTCAATGCGAGGCGCTGCTCCATAGGAGAGGCTGTCGCTGGCCTCCCCGGGTCTTAGCTTCTGTCTCGCTGAGCGCTGTGGGGGCTTGGACCCTTTACTTACGGCGTGAGTTGTAGCCTGTTAACCGCCACGATGCAGGGACCCTTGTGACTTAACACGCAGTTATGACCTAAGGTAATGTAAAAAGTATCGGTAATGTGGATCTACATCTACAGCCTTAAAACACTGAGGGGATTCTCCATGAATTGCTCTGGTTACAGGTGAAGTTTATTGGCTGTGTTTAGATTAAAAACTCAGGTCTTTAATTTTAATAACAAACTTTGATTATAAAATAGTCATTTATAACAATGGATTAAATTGCTTGATTATCATTAATTGAAATAATGAATAATTAGAAGTTGATCTTTTAACAACTTATTTTTCTAAACAATACTCTAATGGTCCTAAACATTTTATTACAAAGATGATAGCTTAATTCTTTGAGCCAGTATCTATCACGATGTCCTTTTTTTCAGTAGGTGTCTTTTTAAACATGAGCATCTTTTATTTACGATTCTGTCCTTGGTTACAGGACCCTCAAGTGTCTCTTTCCCACCAGGCGTGGCTGGGCATGGCTCGAGAGCCTGTCTGTTCCCATCTCAGTATAAGAGCTCCCCCTCGAGACCCTGCATTGTGGTGACTTCCCTGGACTGAGCATTCAGATTTTTTTAGAAGAAACTTTTAGCCTGAGCTGCCTAGCCAAAAGCAATTCTTAAAATTCTAAGTCTTTGGCCTGGAGAAAAAAACTCAAGTAATCATTATTTATTGCTGTTGTGTATGTTGTTATTTAGAACATCTAAATAAAATGTCTATTTTGCCAGTAAGGTAAATCGAAATGTTTCTTGGTATCTGTTCTGCATCTTTTCATAGTTTACCCCCACTTAGCCTATCAACATATATAACAATGTGATTCCCCAGAACAATGGTGTTTAGGTCGATTTTATTTGTTCCCTGTAATGCTGCACATATGGTCAAGTATAGTCCTAGCGAATAACACCTTTTTTATAAGAGTGAGCAAATACACAGACTTCATTCACTTAAAGCTACTTTTTTGCAGTTGAGAATGGGCTAGATTGCAATTATTTTATACTCTGTGATGTAAATTAGCCTTCTTCTCTGAATAGAGTAAAAGCTGCCTCAGACTATTTTTAAATTAACAGTTTTGCTCTTAATTCCTACTCATCTTTTTATATATCTGCTACATTAAAGTGGCCAAAGTCTAACCATGTGTTTGTTTGGTCATCAGGTAGATATAATGATAAGGGCAGGTGTGCTAAGTATCTATGGCTAGAATGGTTTGTTACATAACTTACTTGTTAATGTAGGTTGCCACTGTAAGATAACGCATTTCAGCTGCTGTGCATCGTATTAAATTTTCTAGCACCACACGTGAGTATGTTAATGGACTTTTGTTTTCTTCTCTTAATTGAAATCTTGAGTTTTGGTGCCAAGTTACCTTTTCCATGTGAGCTTCTCTTTCTGGCTTGTGGGGTGGCATACTTGCCATTGCCTGCATCTAAAACTGAACCCCATAGGATCAGATCAGATCTCAGTTCTGACCACACGTTTGCATACGTTACAGTATCTAAGGGTGACATTTTCACCATTATGCCAAATGCCAAATTATAATGGCCCTTCCTCTGTCCAAGGGAGAGCTTCCATGGCGGCCTGTGTTCACCACGCGCTTCCTGTGGTGGGCTTCTGCTGCAGGGCGGGCAGGGCCTCGAAGGAGAAGACCTGGCCGAATTTAGGCATTGGGTGACAGGAAGTGAGGAAGGGCCTAAGGTTAGGTCTTGATGTGATTTTGGAGAAAGATTTAGAAACGCACTGTGTGCTGATAACAAACACCTTTTTTAACGCTAGAAAGAGCTTTTGAGCGTTGGGTTAGTTTCACTGTTAGATTTTTGCCTCCTTGTGTTTTTCTGGAGAAGGTGGGAGATGTTTCCTTCTTGACCAGCTATGAACTTAACTGGCCCCCTTCTCTCTGTTTTCCTAAATAGAAGTAAGGGGCCTGCCTGGACACAGAAGCCGGAGTTGCCTTCTCCTGATCGGCTTGGTTGGTCCTGGCCTCGTTTTCTTAACGTAAGGACTGGTTCCCTGGAGAACCACCTGTAGCCTGAGCCGGCATGGTCAGGGCAGTCTCCTTCCCTGGTGGGCATGGCAGCCATAGCTGTCTAGAATAATGGAAGTCTAAAGCACAGTGGTGACACTTGTTTAATGCTGTAACGCTTGAGGCTGAATTTTTAGAAATTCTTAGAGTTGGTTTAGTTTGGTGCACATTGGTGGCCTTGTGTGACCCACTCTATTTGTTTTATCATGGAACCCCGCTAGGAAGCAGACTTGCCGCCAAGACAAGTGCATAGGTGAACCCAGTCCGGGTGTCAAAAGTGCACTGCAGCTTTGTCTCGGCAAAAGCGAACGCAGATTTACTTTATTGGCCATTCATTTTTGACATGTGTGGTTTCTGTTATTGGTTGTCCCTCTGACTAGCAGCTGTTAGGGGATGTGTTAGAATTAGGGCTTCTGGTGGTGTAGATGCTCTGAATCCGGTTGCTCTTTGCATCCCAGCACTTGCCCCCCTCGTCTGATGATCATTGCTCAGTTGTGTCTGGCTTTTCTGTCCTCTGCCTGGGGTGCATGCTCTGGATGCAAGGATCACTTCCTGAAGTGCTGTCATGTGTCCTTCCACCAGGCAGGTGGAGATGACAGACTGACCAGGCTTCAGAGCTGTTGACAAATTTGGTTCATAACTGTGTTTTTTTTTCATAACCGCTGGAATAATATATGGGCTCAATATTTTTTTAACTTCTGCTTTTATAGATAGAGCTTTCAAATCAAACCAACAATTTCTAAATCCGTGTCTGTCTTCTTTGCTGAGTTACAGTTGGAGCGTGTTAGGTACCCATCAGACTCCATGAGTGATGGATGCTCTTAGATTTTAACGTATGCAAACAGAACTGGTTCAGTTGCAGCATCAAACTGTCCTTGGTAATACTGACCTTGAAATGGAAACTTGGCACCAAATTTATTCAGGTAGAAACTTTTTCGTTCAATTGTTTCTTCCTGCTGTTAACTGAAGAATATGTTTATAAAACTTCATTATATTAAGTTGGATACCAAAGGGTTAAATATACACCTGTATTTCTTTTACCTAAGATACTTTCTATGTTTGCTAATGCTTTGTCTGTACAAATGGACATTTAGAAATGTTTTTTATCTTTTTTTTAATGATTCCATTTATTTGCTTATTTCCATCTAGGAATAGTTACTAATGTATTTGTGATACAGCATACCAAATTTTAAAGTAACCAGAATCGTGAGTTGACGGTTTTTAGTCCGTATGTTAAATTTCGTTGGAATATTGACATTGGAATTGGCTTCATGCTGAAAAGACCGAGGGAGCATAGAGGGCAGTGCTGAGCAGCTGCCTGCGCAGGGCGTCACGGGCCAGCGGCGCAGCCCAGCTCCTGCCCAGCACCTCATGCGTGTGTGTATCTTAATCCGATGTTGCCTGCAAATGTGATCCCGTATGAGTTATAAGTTTCCATGTATGAACCATTGCCCGTTTTAAGTCACACAGAAGATTCTGAATCTGTAAAAACTACACATGTCAATGTTTTCCAGCTACGTAATTCGAATTGACTTGATTTTTTCAAGTAATCCTAGAAAGGGGGAGCATTCCATATAGAAACTGCTGAGACTGCCACAGGTGCTTCTCCGAAACCTTACGGTTGTGGCATTGAATGCTCAGTATCGCTTCTTTCTGCACACAAGGCATACTGTTGAGGTATTTGTTGCGGTGATTGGTTTTACTGCTAATCTAGGAATTCAGATATAGATTCTTTAGATTTGCATGCTTTGCTTACCCTAATTTATGATATCTACCTCTTTATTTGTAAACTAACAATAGCTAAATTGAGATCAGAATTTTAACAGAAATACTTTTATAGAAAAATTGTGGTCCTCTTTTATTGTCACATGGCATTAACAAAAAGAAAGCATCCCAAAGGTGTCATGACGCCTGGGTTCTGGACACCATATTTCAGGTGTTTCCTGATCTGTGCATTTTCAAAATTCAAAACGAAACAAAACACAGAAACTTCTCCTTGAGTGGCTTCATTGTCCTGGTACTGTGGCACTGTAAGTGAAAACCAAAGAGAGCAAGCTGGCCTCAGAGTGGAGCTGAGTCATGGGGGGAGTTCTTGCGGTAATCTCAGAATATTCTCACAGAAAATAGAATTAGGGGTCTTTAATGCTGAGGCCGGTTGGGCAGAACACAGGGTTCAGAGTGACAGTGGTGACGTCTGTCCGAGTGCTGGTGTCGCAGTGCTGAGGGCCGGCAGAAGTGTTGGACGACGCTGTGGCTGCTTGGGCAGGGCTGCGTGGCCCAGGCCCATCCCGGGGAACTGCGGGTGCCAGTCTTTTGGATTCCCACGAGGTCGCCCGGATCGAGCTGGCCAACGTGGGGGCTGACCCTGCCAGCTCCCTTGGAACAAGAGCAGTATTTAAAACTGAGCGGAGCTGAATTGGTTTGAACATCAAGGTGATTGTTTTCGAATTTTTGAGACTGCTCATTTTCAAAGATCTCCTGGATCGATGTTGGAGCAGAGAGGGCAGCCAGGGCTGGAGAGCAGTCTCCATGGTCACTGCCCCTTGGTGCCAGGCTGAGCCACACAGATTCAAGCAAGGGTCAGGTGTGTGCCCTAGAGATTTGTCTAGGACTTTTTTTTTTTTCCCCCCGGTACCGAGAATTGAACTCACGACCTTGCGCTTGCCAGGCAGGCGCTGTGCCACTGAGCTAAATCCCCAGCCCCTAGAGATTTGTCTAAACACAGGACGTGCAGTTTTGTGTCTGCCGGCTGACGTGAAAATAGTTTCTGAGTGCATATTTGACAGTTTCCTGGAGTAGTTAGATTTCCCTTGGGAAGAGTGTAACCCGTGCAGTCCAGTCAGCTTTGTCCTTCCTGATTGTGGTGGTGTGTGTAGGGTCCCGCGTCTAGGCTCTGGTGCGTGCTGACCCCACGGTGCAAGCCTGCTGCTGACACAAGCTGGCCTCAAAGTGGAGCCGTCCTAGAGCTGAGCCTGTCCCTCTCTGCCTGCCTCCCGCAGAGCCCTGGGTTCCGTGATTGTTGTTAACTCCTGCACTCGAGCGTGAAGGGACGAATCGTCCTACGGTCAGAACACCACACGGAGTTGACTGCAAGGTCTGATTCTTTTTTATTAAAACTCAGTGCATTGAAGGCTCAGGGTATAGCTCGGAGCATGTAGCTCAGTAGTTCAGCACTGCAAAAAGTTTTTTTAAAGATGTAAAGCATTTTGAGACCTGTGCACCTCATGATTATTTCTCATTTCGTCTTGGAAGCCCACATAACTTTTAGCCTCCGTGGAGCATTTGAAATGAAACTGCAAGGGGTAGCCTGGGCACTGCTGAGCACAGTGACACCCACTCACCCTCTCCCAGGGCAGCTGGCCGAGACGGCACAGCTGGAGCAGGCTGCTGACTCGCACCAGATTTGTGGTTTTTGTTTTAAGTTTTTGACAACTTTTTAAAAGTTACCTTTTTCTCGCATCAGTAGTGGATGAATGATGTGTGAATCTAGTAGACTTCTGAGGAAGACCCCTGAGAGCGTCATGAGTCCGGCTAAGTGTTATTTAGCAGGGCTGGCCTATAAGCTAAGAACAGTTGTTACCCTTTTAGATGGTTCCAAGAATAGTATTTTGTAACACACGAGATTCTGACTTCAGGGCTCATAAAGGCTGGTTAGACACATCCATGCTCAGCCTTCTGTGGCTGCTTTCGGCCCACGGTGAACACTGAGTAGTTGGGACTGAGAGTGTGGCCTGCAGCCCCTCAAGTGTCTGCCATCCAGCGGGCTACGCCAGGTGCCGCCAGGTGCCTGCCATGACAGCTGCCTAGGATGCCTCTGCTGGGGCCTGTGCTGTGCGCCGGGAGGTGTGAGGAGCCCTGTGGGACGGTCAGCGTGAGCAGAGCAGCGTGCAGGGAGGAGAGGAAGGCCGGGAGCAGCGGCCTGGGTTAGAACATGTGCAGTCGTCCCTGGAGCATGGGCACAGTCACTAGAAGCAGAGAAGGGATTCTGCTTCCTGTCCTGGCTCTGGAGTAGTACAGAGATGGTGCCCCTTGGACACCACCCAGTCTCATCGCTTCCTCCTGAGTCCCTGTGTCGCAGGCCCGATGTCTACCCAGGACGTTTTCTAGAGGCCTGCTGCTCTCTCTTGACCATGTGACCAACTGGTGGTTGATAGCGTGGTCCACGCCCAGGAGTCCACAGTGCGAGTTGACCGCTGCCCTCTGCTTGGGAGCACTCCCTTTGGCTAAAGCCAGTGTGGAAGAGCATGTCAGACAACAGTGGCTGTGACTGCCAGTGTGGACCACTTCAGGGCAGGCAGGGAGACCTGGCCGGGGTTAAGGGTGCAGGGAGCACCCCATGCTTCATCAGAGTCCACGCTGGTCTCACATTGCCGTGCCCATTCTGTGCCTAGCCTTTCCTCCCCGGCCTGGCCTTGGTGATGCTTGGTGCCATTTTTAAAAGGCTGTTGGCTCTGCTTTTCTGTTCTCTGATTCGCTTTGCTGTCAGTGCTTTTATTTGTCCTGGGATCAAATGGCAGCTCCTCATTTCTGTGTTTGGTGTTGGAGAGCTAGGCCATACTGACTGTTGAAAGGATCGTTTTATGAGTTTTGCTTTTGTTCTTGGTCTTTATTCTTCTTGAGAGAGTAGACCTGTCTAGGCCATCCTCACTCTGAAAATGAAGCCCAGTTTTTTTGTGTGTATGTTGTATTTTAGTAACAAGTGCCTGTTTGGGACATGTAATCTATGGAGTTCATGCTGCCCAAAAAGTTTCTTTTTCATTTAATTTATATATCAATAAAAAATGCAGGATGAATATTCATCAGAATTTACAGCTTTGGGTTTTTATAGCAGATTAAGGTATCTGATTTTAATTCCGAATTGTCCTATATATAGCATACCCTTTATTTTTAAGACAATCTTGTTGATTTCTGGGGCTGTCAAATCTTAACTTCATAGCATATTAAATTGGCCTCAGCTCTCCTTCCAGACACGCCTCTCATTTCTTTACCTTGTGGTTCAGGAAGGAGGAGACCCTCCGGTGAGTGTCCGAAGACCTTTAAGGCGTCTCATTCTGAAGGCCAGAGCTTGTGTGAGCGACACCGAGCAGCAGCACAGGCGGGGTGGCGCTCATGAGCGAAGCTGGCTTCCCTCTTGCGTGGTCTGCGGCACTCCTGGGCACAGCGTGGGGGGCGGGGCTTGCTGCAGCGGCCCCGTGCCGCCCTTCGCCGTGTGGGAGTGCCTGGCTGCTCTGCCCTGTGCTTGTCCAAGGCCAGGTGTTAAGCGCAGCTGGTGCTTTGCGGAGGTGGTTTCCAGAGCAGTGTCCTGTCTGACTTCTGGAAAGGAAGCCTGGAGTTAATTTCGTTCTCGGTTTAATTCTGTGTCCTGGAGCCTTCAAGTCCAGCTGATTCACTCCTGTTTTATGCATATCTTGCACTTGCATCCTGCCAGGACTTTCGGCTTAAGTCAGAGCCTCGGTATTGCTGGAGCCAAGGCTTTTCTGTGTCCTTAGCCAAGTGAGGTGCTGGTCCGTGCAGGGCAGGGCAGGGCACTTAGCTGAGGGGGTCCTGGGCCGGTGTGGTGTGGAAAGGAAAGCAAACGTCCACTCAGGTACCACAGCGTGCCAACATGCAGTACTTGGCAGGCTTTCCTCAGCCGGGCTAAAACCCAGGCTGAAAGCGGCTTTTCAGGTGGTGAGTTGACAGTCGCTCGGGCAGCGTCAGGGCACCTGAACTTCCACTCACAGTGCCACGTGCCAGCACAAAGCCTGGCGTGTTGCGAGGCGGAGACTTGTTTCAAGGCCGCTTGCTCTAAATGCCATGGGCAATTTTCAGTACATGTTTGTTTGCTATGATTTCACCGAGGCTAAAGGATGGGGTTTAAAGTAAGTGCAGATAGCATAGAATCTAGTTTCAGGTAAAGTCTGAAGTAGCTTAAAGTTAGATTCTTCAGACTAACATAGAATGCGGTTTTGAGAAGTTAAACAGGAAGAAGGTACCTTTTTAAAAAGTTTACTATACTGCTTTTTAAAATTACTATTGCCCAAATCTTGCTTAGAAATCAAATGTTTAAGAGAAGTTAGTTATGGAGCTAGGATGATTAACTGCTCCTTCAGTGGAGATTTGCTGTAAATTGTTGACTTTGATGTCATCCTCAGATAGATAGTCAGTTCTGCAGGAGCAGAGACCAGGTTCACGCGCGACCGGGTGGTAATTCAGTGTTTTTGTGTTGTGCAGCCTGAGAAACGCCAGCGGCCTGACGGCAGCAGACCTTGCCCAAACCCAGGGCTTCCAAGAGTGCACCCAGTTTCTCTTGAGCCTCCAGAGGTGTCAGCTGAGCCGTTTCTGTCAGAATGGCGCCTTGAGTGGGGGTCATGAGAACGTGTTTCCCAGTCACGTTAGTGGGGGAACAAACCGAAAGAGGTGCTTGGAAGACTCAGAACACTTGGGTGTGAAGAAAGCTAGAACCGGAGGTGAGAGCCCTGGGCCCGGGGGCGGGAGGGGGCATGTGACAGCTCAGAGATCACTGTGTCCCTCCAGTTTCTCAGCACCTGAATTCAGCATCTGCCGTCAGTCAAGAAGAAGTTCATTTTGTGTCTGTTCAGAATATAACCATTAAAACAAATCTGCCTCTGTGCCTGAGTTTTGGGCTTCTTCCGAATGCTCCCAAGCCTAAAAGATGATGATCTCGGGCTGGGGATATAGCTCAGCAGCACAAGCGCCTGCCTGGCGAGTGAAAGGTCCTGAGTTCGATCCCCGGTACCAAACAAAAACAGAAAGTTGATGATCTGGCAGGAATTTTTTTCTATTTGGTGTGGTCCCCCTGGGCTGAGACCCTGGCTGTTCCTGGCCCTGCGAATTCATTTGCCAGTGTCTCGCAAGGAGCTAAGGTAAGTGGGAAGGAGCCTTCCGCAGAGACAGTGATGATCACATTGCGGCCTACAGTGTTCAGATGTTAGTGGTCAGGGCCCATGAGAGTGGCCAGGCGGCCTCTGGCCACGAAGGGCCCAAGGTCATTTTCATCTTCAGTTCTGTGTGGGGTGGCAGCTACTGCTCCAGCGCTGGGCCACAGGGGCATCTGATGGGACAGGCTTTTCCCCTCAAGTTGATACGCACCTGTTTTACAGCTGTGTGAAGGCCTCCCTGTAACAACCTGGTGACTCTTGTAGCCTGTAGGCATGAAAGTGTGACCTGGAATGTAATTGTTGATACTAAGATTTGGGGTGGGGGGTGATTTTTGAGACAGGGTCTTTATATATAGTTCAGGCTGCCCTGAACCCACTACATCGCCCAGGCTGGCTTCAAACGCACAGCAGTCCTCCTGCCTGCCTCTCAAGTGCTGGGATTACAGGTGTGCACCACAATACCTGTAAATCTGAGAATGGGGATTGTTAATGGGGAAGTGTTGCTCAGTATTCTCATTGATTTGATTTATTTGTACCGTGTTGCAGTAGATTTTTTTTTGCTTTTTTGTTTTTTTTTTGTTGTTGTTTTTTGAGGTAAGCTTTCACTATGTAGCCCAGGTTTTTGCAGTCTGCCAGTTGACACGTGTAATCCTGGGAGCTGTTTGAGACCCCTGGCTCAGAATGCAGTTGCCCCTTGCAGGGCAGGGCAAGGGCCGCAGCCTCAGCTGGCTGTTTTTCAGCAGGAGGAGGAGGAGGAGGCTGTGGGCTTAACGCGAAGCTAAGGGGATCCAGAAGTCACGTTTTAATCAAATGGGTACTTTACTGACCTCAGGACCGTGGCCACAACGGGACGGCAAAAATACCGTTCAGGAAAGGCCCAGCACTGGGGCTCAAAAGTCCACAGCGAGGATTTTCAACGTGCTTTTCCCGGGATTGGACTGGGTCCTTCAGAGTGGTTTTAGTCTCCTGAGAATTGGCCCTTTGGTCTGGCCCTGCACTTTGAGGGAGAGCACAGATGTAGGCTACTTTGCTACCTTACCCTGCTGGAAGGTCCAACAGGAATGCACGGGGCTGGGCAGGAGGTCCTGACTCTATGTCAATCTGGGGTCCCGCAGCCCAGCTTCCCACACCTGCCTGTGGGGCAGAGTGTTAGCTCGTGAGGACAGGACGGGTTGTAGAAGTGGCCTTGTGACACCCGTGTTGTGGAATGCTCAGCCATTAGCAGTAACTGGAATCAGCCGGAAGAGGGGAAGAGGAGCTTCCCTGTCACAGGCAGAGTACAGTGGCCAGCTTGGAGGAGGTGCTTTGTTTTCTGTCTGCACAAACCTCTGTCTCTACAGCGTGGTATTAGGTTTGACTGGCTCCTTCAGCAGTGGCAATGGGTGTGGGAGGACACAGTGCCACCGTGCCCGATGGAGGGGCGTGACGAGGCCAGGCTAATTGGGTAGCTGTGAACATAGAGTTGAAAGGTGAATTGTTACAGCTGGTACCTGCCTCTGCCTGGCAAGTCTATCCGTTCGTGGGTGTCAGGAAGGGCAGGAGGAGGGTAGGGAGTAAGGTCCTGATTGTCCTAGGTGCTGACGGTGGCCGGCGCAGCACACCACAGGGGCTCCTTCGGGAGGGGCCGGGTCCTGCCGTTTCCTTCCTGCTGTCTTCCCACCTCTGGGAAGGACCCTGCCCCTCAGGCCTGGTGGCCTTCAGTCCCGTTGGCTTGCCGAGCCTCAGCCTCCTTGCCCGTCCTGCCTGTCCTGCCCGCTGCTTTTGTGATCCCTTGGGCTGAATTGGACCCTGCTGAACAGGTGTCACTGAACCCTGTGGAGAGCTGTTTCTGGCATCTCTGTATTTCTGGCTCTCAGGTGGGTGTTCTGATGGTCTGCTCTGGCCCCTGGGTGTAGTGAACGAAAAGGCAGCCCTGCTGCTGCTCTGAGCCTGCTTGCTTCATGTCTCAGCTGTCTTTCCAGGGTATGAGCTGTAAAAGTGACCTCGTTGCCATGTGCAAGGAGACCCTCTGTTGGTGTCTGGGTTCCGTTTGGCAGCGGACTCAGCCGCAGGTGTCCTCCGGTGCTGTGGGGAGCAGCTTTCCCCGCTGCCTGGGCGTTCGTGTTTTAAAGAGCAGGTGCTGGGTTGATGCTGGAGGGAGGGACATGCCGAGCTGTGGTTTGGGTGGTGGGGATAAGACGCAGGGCTAGAAGAGGCGGTGGAGCACTTCCACTTTCAGAGCACCTGAAGCGCAGGGTGGTGTGGGCCCAGAGCCTTTGCTTTTCACAGCTGTGCAGAGCGCACCCGTCCCTCTGCATCGGCTCTGAATCGGCTTCCCGTCCTGTGCACAGCACCTGCCTCCTGTCCTGGCCCTGCCCGGGAGCCCCCCAGTGGCCGGGCTGCCTTCTGTCTGCAGCATTTCTTGAAAGTATTTGGCACTGAGAGTCGTTTGTTTTGTGTCTTCTTTGGCCCCGAAGTAATTCTGTTTATTCCGTGCATTCCCTTTATGGAAAAGCCATAAGTGCCAGGTGCATCTGTGAGAGTGACACGTTCGTGACAGGAGATGAGACTGGAGCAGCCCGGGCTGCTGGGTGGACTCGCTCCTGGAACAGTAGTACTAGGCAGCCCGTGCCAGGAGCTCAGCGTTCTTGAGAAGTCAGGTGTTGTGGGGTTCATGCCATATTAATGAGTGAGACACAACTACTTTTTTCTAGAATTCTTTTTGGTTAAAAAAATTCTGATTAAAATTAGAAGCTGTGCCAGGTGTGGTGGTACCTGCATGTAATCCCAGCACTCGGGAGGCTGAGGCAGGAGGATCCTTGCGAGTTCAAGACCAGCTTGGGCTACAAACTGAGCTCAAAGTCAGCCTGAATTGCATAGCGAGACCCTGTCTCAAAAAGACAAAAATATATATAAATAAAGTAAAACTAAAATTAGAAGCTGTATGTCCAGTGGGAGTGGCTGTTCCAAGAAGCGAAGGTCCGCGTTTGGGGAAGACAGGTTGGTGTGGGGTCTGGAGGAAAAGCGATGTTTGTGTTTCCGCCTCTGGGCACAGAGAAGTGGGGATCCCGTCCACCCTGCGGTGCAGCCCGCGTGCGTGGCTGTGTGGACTCTGGGTTTGTTTGTTTTAGTAAAGTTAGTGAATGTTTTAAAAACAATTCTTAATTGGTTTTGTGTTACTGAAAAATTGTCTAAGTATTCCTTTTGAAAACCGTATACTTGGACCGGGGCTGTGGCTCAGCGGCACCGTGCCTGCCTGGCAAGTACAAGGTGCCGAGTTTGATTCCCTGTACCAGAAAAACCCATATGCTAAATTTTCAAAAGGGCAGAATTGTCTCTGGGTTGTAGAACATAAGTATATTCCAGAACAGTCTTAAAAGTAGATGCTTTTGTCACCAGGTAAATCTTGAAAAAGGACCTGGAATTCTCCGAAACTTTCCACTTCAGCCTTTTGGGCTGTGGGAGTTTCCCAGCAGAGTACAGCGTGGTCCCAGTGGTCTTTGCTTTCTGAGTCGCTGCCCTCGTGCGCGCACCGAGGAACCTGACGTCTCTGCTTTCCCACAGCTCCAGGCCTGGACTGTGCCATGCCGCTCGTGAATGGCGAGCCGGAAGAGGAGGCGGACAGAATGCACGTCGATAGAGAGTTTGCCGCCGTAACAGGTGGGAGTGGACAGTTTCCTGTTGGCTGCAACAACAGCCCAGTGCTCGAAGACACCAAGCCACAGGAGAGTGGTTCTGTTGGACCGAAAGAAATAGAGATATATACTGTTTCCGCAATGCAGACCCCTTGTCGGTGCAAGAATCAGTATGCATATTATTTCTAACATACGTTTTCCTCAAGCTGGTTTGCACTTTGTTGTTCAGTGTCTTAAAATGTTACATTACGATACCTGCGCTTGGGGCCGGTGTGTAGGAAGAAGTGTTCTTGTTGCATATCCGGTATGAGAGAGAGAAATGCAATCTTCCTGTTTTGATTTGGCTTTTGCTTAATGTGCCTTGCTTACTTTACTAATGAGGTTTGCATTTTTAATGTTCTGATGTGGACTTGGGGTGAACGAACCCAACCTGCTGTCATTTGTATTTTCAAGGGAGTAAACGGGAAGGAGGACAGTTGGGAGCAAACCTTGAGATCTGGTAAATACTGTGGTCCTGGTTTCAGCACTAACGTGACAGGCTTTCTGGCCCTGGGTGCTTCGGCGCTGGCATCCCTGCTGGTGTGTGGAGCACTGAGCACGGCTGCCGTGGCGCTGCACCGCTGAGGCTGGGGGCGCTCACATTTACCCTGTGTTTGCGCCTTGAAAGGCCAAGCTCAGTCTCTCCAGCGTTCAGAGCAGTGGGGGCGCGCCCGTGGCCTGCACGCCACACTGGGGAAACCGGGAAGGGTCGCCATCGTTGGGCAGAGTGTCTAAAGAGGACTCATCGATTCAGCTGATTTTTCTGCCAGTCTTTTATTCTGTGACCACAGAAACATTTTAGCCTTTTTCTTAATATGTTTAGAAATGCTCAGTTTCTAGTAGTTTCATTATTATGCATTTATGATAAATTCTTCACTGGGAATAAAAGATCATGTATTTTGCTTTCGGAAACCCGTAAGAAAATACCATTTTTGTTCACTTGAGAAGGAAAATGTATACATCTTCCCACAAGTGTCAGGATTGCTATGGGTAGTGTCAGCACTTTGGCAAATAATTAAATGAATTGGCAGATTTTTCATGAGCAGTGCTGATCAGAGAGCACATTGTTCTTTGTTTGGGAGGGGGTTGAGACAGGGTCTTGCTATATAGGGGAGGCTGGCCTTGAACTCACTGGGTAACCCAGGCTGGCCTCAAACTTAGCCTCAGCCTCCCGAGTGCTGGGATAACAGGTGTGCCACCACCATGCCCAGTGAGAGTACGTTTTAAATATAACGGGTTTTTGTGCTAGGGGACTCCGACCTTTACAGAAATAAGAAAACTCAAAGCCTGTTCTCTAGGAAAATGGCATTCCTTCATGCCTTTGAATTGTCAAGCATAACCTCTCCTGGCCCTTTGCTCGGCTTTGCCTCTGGCCCTGTTGGCCCTGGGGTCTAGGCCAGAGGCTCCCAGTGCCCTGCTAGCAGGGAGCTGTGGCCTTCAAGGAGCCCTGGGAGGGCAGGCTGCCATCCCGTACGTGCCTCCCCCTGCCCTTGGATTTGTTCTCGGCTCTGCTAGCATCATTTTCAGGGCGATGCATTTTTGGGAAGCTGTTAAGAGGTGTGGCTTCATGTTTTGACACATGTCCAGGGCCTGGAGCCCAGGCCTCCACATGGGTTCCCAGGAACGCAATTCCCTGCCCAGATCTGCAGGCTCTGGAAGTGGGCAGGATGGGCCTCAGGTCGTGTACCAGGCTGGGGGCACAAAAAGGGAGGCTGAGGTGGGGTGAGGGGAGCCTGGTTTCTATGCCCAGTTTATGAGATTTTCCAGGACAAGGTGAGGTTGAATTACCCAGATTCAGAGATTCAGTGCTGAAACGGGTTTACTTTACCTGGGCATTAAAGAAAAATTACTTTATTCCATGAAAACTGAAACATAGTAAGCCTTATTCACAGCCAAGGGCGGAGGCGGGGGGAATCAACAACCAAGGTTGACATAGGGTCAGTACATTTTATTACCTATGAAAGTTGATTCAGTTATTTTTTAAAAGAATATAAATTTCCCCCCTGGGAATAACTGGTTTGGGTTTTTTGGGGACAGGGTCTCATTATGCAGTTAAGGGTGGTCTTGAACTCACTATGTAGCTGAGGCTGGCCTTGAAGTGGCTGTGATCCTCCTGCCTCGGCCTCTGCAGTGCTGGGATCGCATGTGTGCACCACCACGCCAGGCAAACTGAATTTATGTTTAGTTCTTGAAACTTGTTCTCTAGAGTTTGAACTCAATACAAAAACGATCATTTACTTGAAAAAAAGTAATTACTTGAAGAATTTACAGCACTTTTGAATTATGATTGTTACCTAAGTTGCAAAAAAAAGATGGTCATGAAATATTTGCAAGGGTTTGTTACAGAACAGCCAGGGTGCTTGCTTGGCCGCGAGACTGCAGGGCCTGCTGGGTCCTGGCTGGAAGGAGGGAAGGGGAGCGCTTGCGGGCCGCAGCGGTGCGGAGAAGCAGCCTCACTAAATGCCATGAGAACTGAGCTCTGCGTGTACGCACGCCTTGCTGTCATCGCCAGAGCCGCCTCCAGTCGCACTTCGTTACTGAGAGGGGCGGTCTGGGTCCCCCGTGCTGCCGTGTGAGCCCCCGGCAGCGAGTGCTCTCAGTTCCGATCACAGAGGCGCAAGGCCGCTGCCCGCCCAGCATGCCCTGCAGCGTGAGCCTGCTCCGCCAGACGCCCTGTGCGGGCCTTTTTCAGAGAGCCTTAGTACGGCGAAGCCCTGGCTGCGGTGGTCCTGCCAGCACTGCGCTCGGGAGCCCCTCCTGCCTGCCAGGCAGCCGGCACGCATGCAGCCCGCCAGCGCCATCGGCGAGCACACCTGTCCCAGCCGTGCTCCCGCGCGCAGGTCGGGGTGCACCAAGGGACCAACTACTGCTGTCACAGTCTGGGCGCCTCCCGGCTTCTGGTTTGGGCACACCGGGAAGCTGGGGTGCGCAGCGGGCTTCCTTAGCGCACTGCATTTAACCTTTTCCCTCCCGAGCTAGAAACATTTTCTGTTTTAACTTTCACGGTAGAAAACATGACCTTCAGTTGTGATCAATCTCTTCAGGGTGATTTTAGTCTTAAAATGCGAACAGCTTTTTGGTTACTTTTCCATGCTGTCAGTATTTCCCTCTAGTGTGTTTGTCAGCTTGGATTTTTACATTTGATCCCTTACCACTACTGAAATGCATGCACTTTTCCTGTCGTGCCAGGCAGATACTGTTATTTGTAAACCTATCTATCTATACACATTTTTAAACTTTGGAAAAGCAATTGGTTTGTTTAAAAGAAAAACAACAGAAAAAAGAAAACCCTGTAGAATCATAGCAACAGTGAAGCATTTTGTGGTTCTGGTTGATACTGAATTTTGGTGACAGGTGTATTTCTTGATGCAGATGTGAAAAACAGTAGCTCCCTGTCGAGCACACTGACAAATGGCGGTGTCAGCAATGGACACTTGGACTTCCCCAGCACGAGCCACCTCAATGGAATGGACAGCAGGAGTGACCTGTGCGTCACAGGAGCTGAAGGGCTCAGCAGTGGACCAGCTCCTGGACAGCCGTTCGCCGGCGGCCAGGGCACAGTGGGTGCTAACGGGACCGAGGAGCCAGAAAAGACCCTGAGCGCCAGCCCCGAGATGTGCGGCACTCTGCACCTGAACGGGAGCCCGAGCAGCTGCGTGGCCAGCAGGCCGTGCTGGCTGGAGGACTTGGACCTCGGGGCGAGCTTGCACTACGGGTACTACCACGGCTTCGGCGACACGGCCGAGAGCCTCCCGGAGCTGAGCAGCGTGCTGGAGCACTCGAGCTGCGTGCAGGTGGAGCAGCGCTATGCCAGTGCCGTGCTGGGCACCCTGCACCTGCACCCCGGCTCCTGAGGGTGCGGTAGCCTGGCCCTTGGCTTCCCGAGACCCCGCAGCCCCCGTGGGTGCTGGGTGTGTGTGTTGGGTGTGTCTGGCATGTGACCACCGCCCTTTTATAAAACACACGTTTGAAGTTTGGTTTTTCTGACACCAGTCTCAATGTTTTTTTTAGATACAATCACCGAGAATTGTCCTTTTTCTTTTATATGCTCAATTCTGTCCAGATGAGGGGCCTGGTCACATCTCTGCTCACCTTTTGAAGGACGAGCTTACAGCTGCTTCCCTGTAGCATTAGCGATGAGTAGGCCTCTGCGAGTGGGCCCTGAGCACCAGTCCCTGCTGAATGCCGCCCTTCACGGTGGAAACCCTTGGTGCGCCTGGCCCTTGCTGACAGAAGCCGAGCGCTGCCATGGGCTCCGGAAGAACGGCTCACGCGGCCAGCGCGTCTGGACTCCACATTTCCCACCTGGTCTTTAGAGTTTTTACCACAGAAAATGGTTTCCTTTGTATGTAGTGGAAGTTAGTATTTGTAGGAAGTGTCAGGTTAAAATATTTACCTATTTTGACATTTTTTCCTTTGTTTTTGTTTTTGGGGTTTTCTGCTTTCAAATATATACCACTATATATACATATATATATACACACACACAATTAATTGAGAGAATTTTTAACCTCAAAGTAAAACAGCGTTAAGTTCATGGTTTTATAGAAATTAGCTTTGGTTTAGCAGCTAGTGGTGACGCTGTGCAAATTGTAATGAGTTTCTACTTTTCTGATTTTTGTAATAACAATTGGTGCCAATAGAGAAAATGTCAGATGAAAAGCTGATGTTCTGAGTGTACTCACATTTCGTTTTCAGCTGTTCCTCACAGAGCGAATAAAGCCAGCAGTTGGTTGTCCCTGGAGTAGCCTTTGTGCGCGAGGCGGACGCCAGGCAGATGCCGGGCCCAGCACACTTTCACGACAGCCGCAGCCTTGGAAGCTGCTGTAGTTTCGCAGATGGTTGAGTGGTTGTAAGCCTTGTAAGGAATAAGTTGTAGTTAGAAAATGGCACGGAGCTGCCACCTGTGTGTTCTGTAAAGCACTCTACGTGGTGAGTATTTTCGAGAAACCCAGGCCCGCACCAGGGCCCATCCCACACTGGCAGTGTCACCGCAGACCCCCTGAGAAGAGGAAGTGTGGGTCCTCGTGTCGCTTGTATTCGGAACCCAGATTGGGCCTCAGAGACTTCCTGCTAGACAGGTCCAGGCGGCCATCACATCACCCCGAGTACAGCAGAGGAAAACCCTGCCCTGCTTGGACTGTTCATGGCAGTGGCCCGGTGCCCTTGAGCACGTAGGTGCCTGTTGGAGAACGTGAGGCAGCCTCCTAAAGTACAGTAAAGATGGAAACACCTGGTCAGTCTGGGGCTTGTTGCACGTACAGCTGCCTCTGGGTCTGCAGCGGGGTAGGGTCCACACTTCCACCGGGGACCGCAACAGAGCTGAGCTGGGATTGAGAGCCAGCCTTGCCAGCCTACCCAGTGCTTGGCTAGAGACACATAAGGACTTGAGACGTGGCGCACGATGCCCACCACTGTGCCAGCCTCCAGGGTGGAGACCAGGCGCCGACGAGCTGCTGGAAGGAGGGTGTGAGTGTCCCTGGGCTCTGGAGCAGTCGCCGACATGCCGGGGCCCTGGCCAGAGGCCCTTTCCCAAGCTTGTGTGCTCTGTACTTGGAGCACACGGCAGAGCAGGCAGCACAGTCCAGTTAGTGGCATGGAGGTTGTGAGGTACCCGGGAATGTACTTGAGAGGATGTTTAAGACTACCACACCGGAAGTTACGGAGCATTGCTGAGAAGATAGAAAAGCGTATTCAAGGATCTGGCCTTGTACAGGTTAACTGGGAAGGGCAGTTATGTTTTGATAGGGTTTGTAGTTCTGTCTGGGTGTTTGGTGGTTTCTTGCCTAATTGTAATAGTGGAAGTCCACATTTCCGAGCTGATCACCTTAGGTGACATTAGAGTCACTTTGTGCTTGGGCGTTGTAGCTCATGCTCGTCGTGGGCAGACCCGTTGTTGAGTTCTGCCCCACCCCCAGGTGCTGAATGAAATGCCGTTATTTCATCTCAGCTCATCACATCACCTCTGATGAGCACGTGGTCACAGGTAGGAAGGTGCTTGCGCTCATGCAGCAGGGCCAGGTTTTGCAGCAGTTGAAATCTTGTTTCTGAGGAAGCTCAGGTTTTTCTCACTGGCTGTGCACCTTGGTGTCTGCCTCAAAGTGCGGTAACCTGGCTTGGTTCACCTTTTTAAATGCTTTTTACCAAGTGCCCAGGCCTGACGGGCCATCACTTGGTAATAGGTGTTTCCCTTAGACACTGAAGTTCTGCTTGGGCCGCAGGCAGGAAGGGCTTTCCTCGGGTAACCTGCAGTGTGCACCAGCACCCGCCACATGGACACACTGCGGCTGTCACTGTAACGTTTAGTGGAACTCCGCATCATTGCTAAATCAGGAGGCTTCTTGGCTCTTTTTTTTTTCCCTCCCCTGTGGAACTCCACATCATTGCTAAATCAGGAGGCTTCTTGGCTCTTTTTTTTTTTTTTTTTTCCTCCCCTCCCCTGTCTGAGACCAGGTCTCTGCAGTTTAGGCTGGCCTTGAGCTCACTTTGTAGCCCCAGGCTAGCCTTGAACTCTCAGTGATCCTCCTGCCTCAGCCTCCCAAGTGCTGGGATTACAGGTGTGGGTCACCACACCCGGTAACCAGGACAGCGTGGTGCTGGCGGTTTCTCCTGCCTTCCCTGAACCCTCGAGGCAGTGTCACCGCGGTGAGAAGGGCAAGTTAATAGCTCCCTCCTTCAGTTTGGAGGCCCAGGCCCAGGGCACGGTGTGAGGCCTGCCAGGATGACGGGATGGGTATGTTGGGGGCTGTGACTTCCCCACGGCTCAGGGAGACTTCCATCCGTGCATTTCTTGATCTTAGCAAAAGGCCAGGAACGATCAGTTTACCCCTTTCCTTCGGCTACCGTTGCACAGGGACAGCTGAGTGGGAGGGCATCAGAGCCCGAGAACAGGGAAGTTGTTGGAGCTGCCCTGAACAGAGTCGAGGGAGGGCGGGACAGCCCCTGGGGAGTGGGTGGTGGGACCTCGTGAGCACGGGTGACCCAGTGACCAGAGAGCCATGACAGAGGGCCTGGGGCACACCTGTGACGGTGACAGCACTTCCTCACGCAGGAGGGCCCCGGCCCACTCCGTCCGGGCCCTGCTCGGGGAGCCCTGAGAGGGCAAAGCTGCAGTAGAAGAACCACAAGGACTCGGGGCTCAAGAGGCCCGCCCGCTCTGCAGGGGGTGTGGGCACAGGCTGTGCCCTGAACCGACCTGACAGGTCAGCATCACGTGTAGAACGCACACAGGGACGCATGCACCCACCCGAAGGGGCACAGACCCGGGGCGGGGCACTGACAAAGGCTCCCTGCCACGAGAAGGCCAGGCCTGGGGGCACGTAAGGGCCCGGTGTGGTGGGGGGCTGCACCCTCAGGGATGGAGGCAGTGGGACTGCAGGGAGGCCTGGCATCCAGGACCCAGTCTACACCAACCACCAGGCTGGGATCAGCACAGTGTGGGTGGCAGCGACAAGAGGGTGCAGGACAGCACAGCCCACCCTGATGGGTCACCCCCTGACCCTCAGCACCAGGCCACTGTGCAGGCCCTCCTCACACAGTCTTGGGGACCCTTGGGCTGGAGCTGGCATCCACCTGTGCTCTGCCAGGAGACAGGGAAGTAGACAAGGCACAGTGCAGCCAAGTGGCGCGGGTGGGCAGGAGGCGCGGCTCCTCACCATGGGTGTCTGACCCTGAACCCATCAGAAGTAGGTGCTGGGCGCCTCAGCCCTCTGGGTTCCGGCGTCACGCTGCTTCCTGTGGGTGACCTTGCTGTTACAGTGCCCACGAGGAGCGCAGAATCGCCATCCTGTGAGGCACGTGTGAGCCAGCTGTGCCTGTCCCTCGGTCCGTCCGGCATGTGCCACCGCCTTGGGCAGGGCCGCAGAAGCCACCCCTGCACTCTGACTTTCCAGGACCGGAGGCCAGCAGCCACTGAGGTCACAAACCAGGCTTCCAGAGGAGGCCAGGCAGCCCTGCTTCTGTCCATCACGCCTCAGGCTAAGAAGCCGCCCTGTGGGGAGTGGTTCCCGCGGAGTGCAGCTGCTTCCAGCCAGTCTAGGCAGCAGGGAGCAGTTGCGCCCCAGACGCCGTGGCCTCCACCCTGCAGCCTGGGTCTCGCACAGCAGTGCCAACTCCTTAGCTGTTTCGTGAAACAAGCAGCCTGGAATTTGAGATCGTGGGCAACGGGTGGGAGCATCTGGGTCAGAGCCCGGCTCCGCGCGAGGGTGCACGGGCCCCAGGGTTCCTGCGGGGCTGGGAGGCCCTGGCCCTCGGCGCTGCTGCACAGCTCTTGCGAGGGGGAGAGGGCTGTGCTGCCAGAACACAGACACGGCCTGCGGTGGCGAGCGGGCGCCCCCACGTGTGGCGGACAGGTCACCGTGCCGGGAGCGATGACCCTTCCAGCTGGATGCTGCAGTGGGCAGGGACAGTTGCCTGGGGACCCGCAGCAGTGGACTTGATGGACAGCATGGAGGCTGCCCACAGCCGCTGAAGCTGGAGGGGCTGGGATGGAGAGGGGGCAGGAGGCAGACGGTTCCATTTCACCATCTTGGTTTTTTAAAAAATCTGAAGCCAAAGACATAATTTTAAGAACGAAGTTAGATCCAAGGGGAACGGCCTGCTCGGGTCCCCCCTCCCGTGTCCCTGCCAGCCTGGGACAGCCTCGGCCGGGCCCTGTCACCCGCAGCCGCGCTCTCCCGGCGCCCGTGATGGTACCGTGCTCAGCGCAGGAGCCGCCGCACCAGTGTGTGGGCCCCGCTCCCCTTCCCTGGGAGCCGGCTGTCCTTCCCAGCGCCTCCTCGCTGGCTTCGCTGACAGCAGACAGGATTCAGGATGACTGAAGCCAAGTTTTACAGGCAAAACAGCATGAGGCACCACATCAAACGGCACATCGCAGCTCCAGCGCACGGCGGCGCGCGGTTCCAGGTTTCCGTGGTTGTGAGGCTCCCGACCTGGGAGTGGGGTGTGAGGAGGGGCCCACAGGACAGGCCCCGGCCTCGTGGCTGGCCTGGCTCCACAGCCTCACCATGGCTGCAAGAGGAGCCTGGGTCTTCAGCAGACTGCACCTTGGCCTGGGCACGAGGACCAGTGCCCGCATCCCGTCCGACAGGGATAGGTCACATCCCAGGCGGGATTTCGATTTCACGGCAGAGTGTGGAACTAGGCCCAGACTGGTCCAGGCAACACTGGTCTCAAGTGTGACAGGCTCTGAGGTGCCAGCATGTCCCTCCAGGGCCCCTGGCGGACACTGCCGCCATCACAACCCCGAGGCCTAGTGGGGGAGGAGCACAGGTGGGGTCAGCCCTGCGGGTGGGCCGTGTGCCCTGAGCCCCAAGAGGCGGCGCTGTGTACAGCCAGCCAGGGGCTCTGCGCAGCCCTGGTCCAGAGCTGCTCCTCTTCCCAAGGCTCCCCAATACTCGGGCAGCGGCTGTTCTTGCTACAGACGCTGGTTTCCTCTGGGCCTCGGCTTCATGCAGCTCCAGGGAGTCCGGACAGCTCAGGGAGGGAGGACGACGCCAGCAAGCCCAGCTCTGGGTGGGGCCCAGATCACAAAACAAGTGCTGGGAGAACTCCGAGAAGCACACCTTGTGGCCGAGACAACAAGGTTCCCACACCCGGGGCTGGAGGAAGGGGTGGGCCAAGGGCAGCCAGCATTTCCTCAAACTGTCAACGTGTAAAAGTCGGTTAGGCAGTCTGGCTGCCAGGTGTGGCGGCACATGCCTTTTATCTCGGCAGTTATCTCTGCACATGGGAGGCTGA